CCCCCCTTGGGAATGGCCTAAAGACTCTTCCGTCAATAGCACCTCCTTGGGGGGTGAGAAAGTGTTTACTGAGACAAACAACACAAAATCTTGCCATGAAGGACACCAGATAAAATATATGGATTTAAATAAAACTGAAAAGACCACAGTTATATTTACCTTACGAGAGCTGATATTCCTGTAAACCACTGAAATAATCGTTTCTGAATTCTGACAAAACAAATGAAGCTGGATTTTCAAAGTCATTTATTTAAAGATGTGGCCATTTTATTCCATAATGATTTGTGCAGGTCACGAAAGAATCATAAATCAGTAGGCCTACATTGTCTTCCAGGTTTACATTAACAGTAGAGGTATAAAACTCCTATTCTGTCTGATGTAAAGAAATAATTACAAATGCAATAATGTTAAGCACAATGCACTAAAACATGTATAAAAAGTATGAATAAGTACGGTTTATTGAAATGTACTATGATCAAATGTCACTATTAGATAAGTGTTCCCAAAGAATTTTTTAAAAATATTTGGAACTGCAAGCCATGATAAGTGTATGCAATCAATTGGTTTCAAAGGGCAAGAAAAGTTCACATCTTACCTTTCGAAATAATACAATCTATTTAATTAGGAGACTGCTAAGGGTATCGTGGAAGGAAAAGAAATCAAATGAGGTAGTGCTTGATGAAGCCCACGTGGGACGCTCAATGTTAAATTACAATCAGGAAATGACAAATGCAGTTTTTGGGACCCCTTATAGACATAAGGGTCTTGAACATCTAGCTCTCACTGGCAAAATTGAGGGCAAGCGAGGCAGGGGTCAGAACAACATATAATTTAGGGAACCTAAACAAATGGGTAACAGGGAAAGCATTTTTGAGAGCATCCGAGCAAAGGAATGAATAGAAAACCATGATCCCCGATGTCTGTCCCATATCTGGCACTGGATGATGACGACGATGATTTAATTGAATAAATCTTTAAAATATAAAAAGGCACTGAGAGCAGAGTGTGAGTGTGAGTATCCATTTTTATCTCAGAAAGAATAATTAATTAAATCACTTTATAAATAAGGCTCTTCAACATAATATAGGATAATACTAAGCAAAAAAAACTGTGGAAACATTTCTGTTATTGTGGTCGTGTAGAATGGCCAATGCATCTGCAAAGGGGGTTATCTTTTAAGCAATCTTGAAGAAGCGAGGATTAAGATAACAAGCTATGGCCGATGAGACGAATTCTGACAGAGAAAAGTTTGCCACATTTTGAGCATTTCAAGGCTCCATTTCCACATGTAGATGTGTGCAGTTAGTTTGTGAGCTTCTCTCTTGTACTTTACTGACAATAGGTAAAAATGAGGGCCAAACAACACATCAAGCATTCACTGTCACATGAGTAGTAGTAGTAATAATAATAATAGGCCTAATAATAATAATAATAATAATAATAATAATAATAATAATAATAGATAGCATTTGTATTGTG